AAAGAAGAAGACGACGGAGAAGACAAAACTTTATGCCAAAATAATCTCCAGGTATATTAAAGATTTAGGTATCAAATCTGTAGATGTAAAAAGATTAAATGAACTTATAAGTGAGTAAGTACACAATCAAGCAATGGGGAAGGTCTTTCTAAAAAGGCAAACCAAAGGCAAAAACCATCAAGGAAATGATCAATAAACCTGACTAAATACTAGTTTTAAGCTTTGTACATTAAAAAACTATAACTAACAATTATGAGTCATATTACCAATGGAAAATATTTGCAACAGTATTAAAAAGATTAGAATCTTTACTATCTAAACGGTTTTTATAGGTCTCTTGAAAAATCACCCAAAACTGAAAGGAGAACAAGAAACAGAAACACAAACTCCATCCACAATGAAACCAAGAGACATCAGTAACCCCAAACCACACAATATAAAGACTGGTAAGTGACTTTGCTGAGAGGACAGAGGTCACACTAAGTTTTTCCCTCAGAATCCAAAAAAGTAGGAATATTAAAGTCCCCCCAAACCAGGAAGACCAGGGTAGGTGGGAGCTGACAGCAGGGAGTTGGTTTAAGAAGTTAAGCCTCTTGGTTCTCCTCCTTACTTCTTGCAGTCTAACAACTCCCACTTCCACTGGAAAAGACGATTTATCCTGTGGAGAAACAGACCGGAAAGGTTCTGGACTCAGGGACACCAGAAACTGAAGAAGACACATGAGGACATCTTACTTAAACTACAGGGGTTAAGCAAAGATTTGCACACACACCTACACCTACGTAACCGGTCCAGAATACATGCAGTTGACTTATAACCCCCGGCAAAAGACTGAATGATCTTTATCTGGAGAAACTGAATGGCCCTAGGAAAAGTTCAGCAACTACTGACATTTAAGGAACCCAAATAAAAAAACTGGCAGGCCACCTGATAACCCTAGTAAAACTCTCTAGTCTGCTCACTTCCCATTCTACTCCATGTGCACTGAGTTGAACCTAGTATATTACGGCCTCAGTATAAAATATGACTGGATAGCAAGGGTATTTGAAGAAACCCTCTGTAGTAGCTGAATGGTGGCTCCCCAAAATATATGTCAACGTCTTAATCCCAAGAATCTGTGACCGTTACCTTATATGGCAAAAGAGTAAATATTACTTTACATGGCACGAGGCATGACTAGGTCAAGTAGCATGAGAGGAGAAGCTTACCTGGTGGGCCCTACATGCAATCACATATATCTTTATAAAACACAGACACACAGGACACACAGAAGAGGAGGAGACAAGGTGACATGACTGCAGAGATTGGAGTGGAGTGAAGAGATGTCAAAAAGCCACCAGAAACTGGAAGAGGGCAAAGAACAGGTTCTCCGTTAGAGTCTCCACAGGGAGTATGGCCCTGCTGACACTTTGATTTTGGACTTCCGTCCTCCAGAACTGTGACAGAATAAATTTCTGTTGCTTTAAGCCACGCAGTTTGTGGTAATTTGTTATGGTAACAGTCCTAGGAAACTGATACGCCCTCTAAGATGAAAGTTGGAGACCTAAGCAAACACACAGAGTAAAGGAACTCAAAAGAAAGAGAAGGCAGAAGAAAACTTCAAACATATTATAATAGTCTCCAAGAAATAAGAATAGGAATCTATTAAAATAAATAGCAAGGATACAGTGGCAGAAATTAAAAACTCACAGAAGAGTTGAAATATACAGTTGAGGAAATCTCCTAGAAAGTAGAACAGAAAGGTCATTAGGAAAGAAAAGACAAGAAAAAAATTAAATTCAGAAGGTGTGACACTTAACTAATAATAGTTCCAGAGCACAGAATAGATAAAAGAGTTGGAAGAAAAGCATCAAAGAGAAAATACAAGAAAAGTTCCCAGAATTGAAAGACATGAATCTCCCAATAGAAGAAACGAATATAATAAGTGAAAAAAGACCCACAGCAATTGTAAGTGCTGTTGCAGACATGAATCTATTGACATAAAAAAAAAATGATGATATACAATATGGATGAAATAGATGAAAAAACACGTGTCCAGTGGTAACCTATTCTTACAAAATATGTACATAATAGATAACAATATAGAGCACTGCCTTCAAAATGTCAAAGAAAATTATTTTCAACCTTGAATTTTATACCCAGGCAAAATATCAATCAAATATGAAGGGAAAACAAAAATATTTTTAGACATTTAAGTCTCAAAAAATTTCTCTCTTAAACACTCTTTCATTGTAAGATATTAAAGATTGTGATCCATAAAAAAGTGGGAATATACAAGAAAGAAGATATGGGATCCAGGAAGAGAAAATCCAACTTAGAAATGAGGTAAAAGGAACTCCCGGTATGATAGCAAAGGGAACTCCCAGGATAACAACTGTGCAACAGGCCTAGAGAGTGACCAGTTAAAATTAGAGCAGGAGGAGAGAGGGAAAAGAAGTTATCTAAAATTGATGCCTCAAGAGATAACAGTGCACACAAATCATTTAGAAATCTGGAAGTAGATAAAAGAAGAAACATGTGAAAGTAATTGTTCCAGAAGAGTGAGCTGAAGGAGGGGGTGGGAATAGGAGATTACTTCTTCATTTTAAGACTTTTAGCTATAGTTTACTTTTTAAGCTTGTATTAGTTTCGTACAGCCGTCACAACAAATTACCACAAACTTGGCAATTTAACCAACCAGAAATTTATTCTCTCACAGTTTTGGTAGTCAGAGGTCTGAAATCAAGTTGTCAGTAGAGTTGGCTCTCTCTGCAGGCTCTGAAGGAGATTCCTTTCCATGTCTGTCTCCTATCTTCTCTCTCCTTGGTATTCCCTGGTTTGGTTGTTTTACTGACAAGGAAACTGGAGCACAGCAAAATTATGAAATACACCCAAAGTCACACAGCCAATAAGTGGTGGAGCTGGCATTTAAATCCAGCAGTCTGGCTCCAAGCTGTGCTATTACCACCCTGCTAGCTGCCTCTGTATAATCAATGCACAGAAAAGGACCCAGAAGTGTATATACTAAGGAAGCTGCCATATTGCCTCTGAATAGAAAGAGGTTGTAGGTAATTTTTATGTTCTTTTTGCTTGTATGGATTTCTAATTTTCTGAAATGAGTTTGTAATGTTATTACAATTTATAAATATTAAAACCTGCATTTTAAAAACAACATTATCTCCTCAGCCTATCATATAAGACCTACTTTCAGTTAGTGGGAAAAACAGGAGACCTTGTTACTAGATCCAACGCTGTCACTCAAGGCACACAGTAAGTGCTCAATACAATTTGTATTCATTAAGCATCTACTCTGGTGTCAGACACTGTACTTGAAGCTTAATAAATGCTATTGCTATTATTATTGTCAGTGTTACCTGTCCATCTTTAGACAAGTCAACAACACTTTCTGGACCCCAGGAAAGGATATTAGCATGAAGGTAACAATGACAACTGTGGTTTGATTGAATTATGGTGAATGGGGTGATTCTGCTCAAGCTTATTGGTCCTTTGGGGGGAAGCAGTGAAGAAGGGATACTTGCCTTGTAAGAGAAATTTCCCCAAAAGCATAAAAGCTGATCTAGAGAGAGTCCCTTCCATAACACTAGAAGGATTTCCCTGAAGTTAGACTGGTGGAATAGTGGGTAGAGGGGATGAGTTGGGGATGTTGAGCCTGAGGTTGCTGAGCCCCTCCCTCTACATAACAAAGGAAGTTTCCCTGCCAGTGAATAAGGCTGAGGGTTTAAGCAGATAAGGAGAGAGAAAGGACAAGGGGCTGGGTGAACAGGTGGTAACTGACTTGGCCACATTGCCAGGTAAGGCGTGACCGGTCCTTTGGGAAGTAACTTGTTCTGTATCTTTAAAATGCCCTGAGGAAACTGAGACAAAATTGGCTAATACTGCAGAAACCCATTACTCAGAATCATCAGTGCTCTTCCATGGTTGATTTTTCTCCCTCTTTACACTTTCCCTTCCTTGCTGGGCTTCCTAAATCCTGCCTAGACTCCAGCCTCACAAAGATAATCCAATTGCCCATGATCTTGACCCTAGACTCCTCTTTCCCCACCTTCCCAGACTTTGTTTTCTGTTCTTTTCAACTGCTGACCTACTGATGATCCAAGAGGATGCCAACTCCCAAACTCCCAAACCATGGACAAGATCTGATGCTTGTCTTCAGTCCCTGGGAATGACCTGGCCTGTCCCTGGACTCTGTTTATCATAAATCTCAACATCCTCAGTGGGATAATCTCTGTCATAACCCAATGGAACTGAGCTCAAGGTACAATCTTAGACCTAGGCAAAGATGGTAACTCAAGCTGGATCTCCTGTGATAATTGTGGATGCAATTGACGTAATCTGTGGGTCTAATTATTTTATGAAGCTAACTATAATTATTATAATCAGACTGAAACACAGTTAAATGCAAACAATAAAACTTAATTCTGAGGGTTCTCTATTCATCTTCCATGACACCCCTCATGAGAAGTGCTCTTCTTTCACACCCACCACAAATTGCTGAGCAGCAAAGTTCCTGCTTCCCCTGGAATCTAGACACTGCTCCCTGAGAGGCTGCACAGTATAGTGGCATCCATGTGGCCCCTGGGCTCAGAAAGCCCAGGGTTCAAATCACAGCCTTGTGTCTTATTCTCTATGTGCCTTGCTTTCCCCACCCACAAAGTAGGGGAAAGTGACTATCTCCCTGGGTTGTGCTAAGGAGTAGAAGGTACATATATGAATTGGTGACTGCAGTCCCCACTCCAATTAGGCTTCTATACATTGTAGTCATTGTTCCTGGAGTCAGGAACCAAGTGTAGGTTCTAGGCACCAAGCTCCCCTGGCTTCATCGCATTAAGGGGTCAATGACTCAGCTCTCCACTCCCCGGGAAATTTCAAGTAAGCACAAGCCCAGCTAAGTGTGTATGTGTGTCCCAGGTACAGGCCTGGGAGCCAGGCCAGGCAGGTCTCCAGAGAACTGCTGCTTTTTTCTCTCCAGAGGAGAGCACTGGGCCTGTTTGTTCACACACCTGGAAAAGGTTAGCAGCTTCCAGGACCCGCTGGACGTTCTGCTTGGTGATCAGCGCCTTGCTGGTGTACGTGTAGTTCAGAAGAGTGTGCATGGTCTCCGCGTCGACCCCTTTGATGATGATCCTCTCCTCATACTTTTCCTTTAAATCATTGCAGAACATGGCCCTGGGAGAGAGATATGTGAATGTGAGTCCAACCGTGACTGTTGGTTCCAAATCTAAACAGACCCCCTTCAGACCTGTCTGCCCCCATGGGACAGTGAGGTTCCCAAGGTCGGAACCTGGGGCGATTGCTCTCCATCCCTCAGCACCCAGGACCCACTAGACGTTCCATGAGTGCTTACTGAACTAATGTGTCCTGCTCTGCTGGGCCCAAGTGTCGTCCCCAAGGCAGTCCCAGGCAGGAAGAAAGACATTAAGAAAAGAGAGAGAGAAAGAGAGGAAGAAATCACTGAGAAAAAAGAGAGAGGAAGAAATCACTTGACAAGCTGATTTTTTTTTGTTTAATTTATTATTTTTGTCTCTGTTGGGTCTTTGTTGCTGTCCGCAGGCTTTCTCTAGTTGCGGCGAGTGGGGGCTACTCTTCGTTGCGGTGCGCAGGCTTCTCATTGCGGTGGCTTCTCTTGTTGCAGAGCACGGGTTCTAGGCGTGCGGGCTTCAGTAGCTGTGGCTCGTGGGCTCAGTAGTTGTGGTGCACGGGCTTTGTTGCTCTGCAGCATGTGGGATCTTCCCAGACCAGGGCTCGAACCTGTGTCCCCTGCATTGGCAGGCGGATTCTTAACCACTGCGCCACCAGGGAAGCCCCGACAAGCTGATGTTTGAACCTGTTGTTTTAGCCCATGAGGTCTTCTCCCCTGGGTCTCCCTCTGCCCTTCTTCCTGTCTTTTTTTTTTTTTTGCGGTACGCGGCCCTCTCACTGTTGTGGCCTCTCCCGTTGCGGAGCACAGGCTCCAGACGCGCAGGCTCAGTGGCCATGGCTCACGGGCCCAGCCGCTCCACTGCATGTGGGATCTTCCTGGACCAGGGCACGAACCCGTGTCCCCTGCATCGGCAGGCGGACTCTCAACCACTGCGCCGCCAGGGAAGCCCCCCTGTCTTTGTTTTAATAATAATAATCTTCCTACCCTTCTCCCTCCTCTTCTCTCCTCTCTCAGCTGGCCTCTTCCCCCTCCCCAACAAGAATATGACAGCATGACACAGAGAGCAAATGTGAATTCTGCAAAGTTAACAAATGCCAGCCTGGAACCAGAGGAGCAGTGGTGTCATTTGGGCAGACGACTGATTTACAAGCCAGTTTTTTCAGCCATAAAGTCTCTTGGCCAGAGGGGCACAGAGCCATCTGTGGAACCACACATGTTGTAAAGTGAGGTCATGAAGCACTCACCTGGCTGCCTCCTGATTCCACAGCAAACCTTGCCATCACGGCAACCACACAATTTCTTCCCAGCTCAGCCCGTCTTCCTGGGAGGAGTCGGACAACCTCACTCCCTAAACCTCCCTTTGTTTCAGTCTCTAGAGCAGAGTTGCCCAATAGAAATATGATGCAAGCTGTATGTGTAATTTAAGATTTTCTAGTAACCATAATTGTTACATAAAAATAAGAGATAAAATTAATTTTAATCTTTTATTTAACCTAATACATACAGAAATATTATCATGTCAACAGGTAGTAAATATTTTTGGTTATTAATGAGATAAGTTACATTCTTTTTTTTCATACTAAGTCTTCAAAATCCCTCAGGTATACCTTACACTTAAAGCACATCTCGACCCAGACCAGCCATAATTCATACGCTCAATAGCCACACGTGGCTAGTGGCCACTGTAGTAGGCAGCGCAGCTCCAGAGCATCAGTCCTGAACTCTGCTGTTGGGTCACCCAGATCTGCAATCATCTCAGGGGGTAAAGTGGATGTTACCCACATGAATGTCGTGTACATGAATATATGAGTAACAGGACATTTAGCAGGAGAGGGTGGGCAGTGATGATGGGGTGAAATGAAGCTTCATGTACCTGAGGCAACATATCAGTGGAATCCTACCAAAGTGAAATTTAGAAGTACCCCTTCACCTAAAATGTGGTTTTAAAATTAGTAAAAGGTGAATTTTGTTGAATCTGCATGATCTCAAACATTCTAATGAAAACTGAAAAAGTCTACAGTAGAGATGTTTTAATATTAAATGAGATAGGTATATAAATTGTCTCATTCAATGCCTTGCACTTCAAGGGGCTCTTCTGAAGCCTATGTATTTTGGGGGTCCCATGTGACATGATTATTGGGATCTCTGGGATCATTTGGACTCTTGATCAGGCTGTCACTGCTAGACACAGCTTCTGAATTCTCTTGGAATCAGTCACTGAATAACATCCTGGCCCAGCTCAGCCAATACTTAACTGGGTGTCTGGAATCCCCTGAAGCCAACCCTCAATAGCTAGTGATGTGTTATAGGGGAATGGGGGAGCAAGATGAGGGAGGGGAGGAGGCCAAGCAAAACAGAAGTCATACAGAAAGTCACTTTGGCCTAGTCCTGCAAGGGACCTCTGGAGAATACATTCCAGAATTGTCCCCAAAAGAGGCAAAGAAGCTGGGCTGTGATACTCCAGCACCTTGTGACAGTCTTAGTTACAGGCCACCCCAGAAGGAGGTAAATTCTCACGCCCTTCTGTTTTTTGGGTTTTTTTTTGGCGATACGCGGGCCTCTCACTGTTGTGGCCTCTCCCGTTGCGGAGCACAGGCTCCAGACGCGCAGGTTCAGCGGCCATGGCTCACGGGCCCAGCCGCTCCGCGGCATGCGGGATCCTCCCAGACTGGGGCACGAACCCGCATCCCCTGCAACGGCAGGCGGACTCCCAACCACTGCGCCACCAGGGAAGCCCACCTTCTGGGTTTTGATGTGTGTGGGTGTGCCTGTGCACAAGCAGCGTGATTCCAGGAAGCCTAGAGGAGGGTGGGAAGAAGCGCTGCAGTGCTGGCTTTTGGAAGGTGGAGGGGCTGGGCTGTCTAGGCTCTGACGCTAACTCACCACGTGACTTTGTACAAGGGAGCAAACCTCAGTTTCCTCTTCTGTGGAATGATATAACAATGGTCCTGACCCCAGTAGGCTGCTGGGAAGAATAAGATAATTACCACTCACCAAGTGGCTGGAACAATACCCAGCACTCACTAAGGGAAGGCGTCTCAGACCAGGTCAGAGGAATCTGGGCAGGCTGTGGGAGATACTCGGAGCAGGCAGCCGACCGCACTCTGACTCACAAGCCAGGACCTGCCAGTATTGGGCTTGGTCCAGTCAGGTCCCTGCACGGCTGTGCACCACCCATTCAGCATAGAGTTAGGGCTAGGGCCGCTCACAAACTGACTTAGAGACATTAGCATGGTGTGGGCACACAGTAGGAGCTCAATAAATGCTCATGGGAGAGAGAGGAAAGGAAGTGCTCCAAAGACTGTCCTTCCTCTGGGGCTTTTCTGGCCTGGTTTGGGTCCCAAAGTCCCAGCATTTCTCTGCTTTCCTCTGAGACTTTTTCACTGATTTTCTGCCACCTAAATAAACTCTCCTGGGCCCCAGACACCATGCTGAACACAGATAGCATGAAACTAAGGAGAAAACTACATATTTCTCATAGACCAAACTCCTAGGCCTCCTGCTGCTCTCTAGGAGATCCATGGATACACTTTAGCAAAGTTGGGAGACCCTGGGCAAAATGGGCCATCCCTAGGTTTCCACTTTAATAACAGTAATCTCTCACATTTATGGGTATAGCCTTTGTAGGGCAAACAGCATCATCTCTTTTGATTATTATACCCATTTTATAGGTGATAGACTGAGGTAAAAGTTAAGTGAATTGCCTAGGACCCTACAGGTTGTCGGCAATAGAATGGGGACAGGAACCTAGGACTTTGGGCTCTTAATCTGGAGCTCACCAGTGCACTAAAATCAAGAAAATCAGCAGTAATTCAAAGCCATTTTTAGGGGGTCAAACTACGTGTCAGCACTGAGTGAACCAGACCACATTTTGCTCCCCAAGAGCACAGCTGGGTTAGTTACTAACCATTTCCCCCTTAGCTTTTACAGGAGGTAAATAAAATTTTTGTGTAATAACAATATTTTCTAGACAGACACTGACCAAGTCTCATGAGATTCTTGTAAAACAGAGGTGGCTATGAAGATCCTCTTTTTACAGTTAGAAATAATCTCAGAGTAGGGAGTCAGTTGCCCAATACTTCAGCAGTGAGTCAGTGCCAATCCCGAAATAGAGCTCATCTCCCACAACAGCCATGAAGACAGCCATGGGCCCAATAGTCTCCTGGAATGAAGTCAGGCCATGGCCCCATCACTCTGCCTGGGCTTCGCTCCCCACCAAGCTCTGCCAACCTCACTCCCAACTTCATTCAGGTCTCTACTCAGATGTCCCCTCCTCAGGGTAACCATCCCTGACGCTCAGTCTAAGACAGTCACTCTCTAACATCATCTCTTTTGTTTTTCTTCATAACCCTGTAACAACCTGAAATTATATTACACATCTATTGTTAGCAAGTTTAATAATTGTCTCCCTGCTAGAATGTGAGCTGAGTGAGGGCAGGGGTTGTGCCATGTTCAATGCTATATCCCTGAGGCTAGAATAGTGCCTGGAACCTAGTAGAGACTCAGTAAATATCTGGAGAGAGAATAAATGAATGAATGAGCTTGTGCTTCTAGCCCTCGTATGTTTGCTTTTGACAGGAATCTGCACCTCCAAGAATTATCAAACACTCTCTGAAGGAGGAGGCTGAAGAGGCTGCCCATAGAGAACCGAGTCTAGGGCCTGGAGCTTAAAGAGGACACACCCACACGAGAACTTTCCACTCACAAATTCAATGAGTTCTTGATGCTCCAACAGTTTCTAAATGTCGTCCACTCAGGATTTTTCAACAGCCCAGCTTCGCTATGGCCCACCCCCTCCCCAGGCCTCCACACCTGCCACTGAACTTCCTGCTTCCTGAACCTCTAACCCCAATCACAGTCCTATAAACAAATATTCACCTCCACCACCCCCACTCTCTCATTCTTAGACCAGCTCCCCCCATGCTGACCCCTGCTCTGTTCATCTTCTAATCCCTTCGCCATCCCGTTCATACCAGGAGCTAACTCTTCTGCATCAGTGAGGTATTCAGGGTTGGAAATAGCTCTA